AGGAGTGAGGAACAGCCTTGCAGGCACCAAGGTCAGTGAAGAAGGAGGGGGAGAGGTGCTCCAGGTGCCAGAGCAGAAGTCCCCTGCGGCCTGTGGTGACGACCATGGTGAAGCAGGCTGTCCCCCTGCAGCCCATGGAGTACCACGGTGGAGCAGGGTTCCACACTGCAGCCCGTGGAAGAGACCACGGTGGAGCAGGTGACCCTGTACCGATGGAGGCTGATGCCTGTGGAAGACCCCTGCCGGAGCAGATTCTGGGCCGGACCTGTAGCCCGTGGAGAGGAGACCACGCAGGAGCAGGTGACCTGGCAGGAGCTGCTGCCCGTGGGGGACCCAGGTTGGAGCAGTTTGCTCCTGAGGGATGGACCCTGTAGTACGAACCCATATCTGAAGCAGCTCTGGAAGAGCTGCTGCCTGTGGGAAGCCCACACCGGATCAGTTCATCAAGGACTGCATCCCATGGGTGGGACCCCACAGCACAGGGAATGAGAGTGATTGAGAAGGAGTGGCAGAGAAGCGCTGTAGACTGACCATAACCCCCGTTCCCCCGTTCCCCTGCTCCAGTTGGGGGGAGGAGGTGGAAGAGGGTGGATGGGGGGGAAGGTGCTTTTGGTTTCTTTCCTTTGTTTCTCACTTCTCTAGCTTGTTAGTAATAAGCAATAAATCTTACTATCTCCCTATGCCAAACCTGTTTTGCCCGTTACAATAATTACTGCGTGATCTGCTTGTCCTTATCTCAAACTTTGAGCCTTTTTCATCTTATTTTCTCCCTGTTCCTCTTTGAGGAGGGGAGTGAGAGAGCGGCTGTGGTGGAGCTTGGCTGCCCACTCGAGCAGAACCACAACACCATGGCATCCTGGTTTTGGCAAATATGTTCATATTGCAAGGCATAAAGAGGCAAAAACAGGGGGACCACAGGAAAGTGATGCTATTAATCATCTACTATTTGGAAATATGCAGATGATGTAAAAGAACACATACTGACTGATGAAGAAGTAGAAAGACTAACTCAGTGGGAATAAGCCCATCATAGAGAGGCTTCTAACTTCAAACACACCCTGGTGTCTTATGAGAAAGAAGTGTTAAATAAAGGTACCCATTCATCAAACACTGTCCACTCTGTTCACTGAATGAAGTATAAATGAATTGAACAAAAATAATCTCAAGACTGCAAACAAAGAGGGACTGAGCAGGACCTTTGTTCTGATATCCTCAGTATTTAAGAATTTAAGCAACCACAATAAGGTTCTTCGGAGAAGGGAATAGGGATCATTACTTATTTAAAACAATGATAAAGAGTCCATCAAAGTTGTCCTCCTCCTCCTTTGAGAGAAAACTGAAGCAAATGGTAGTTAGGGTACACAAGTTCAGCTTAATTGCAAAGCCTTTAGTCCCTCTATTTCTGGTCCACCACAAATGGAAATGACTGGCATGTTTGGGATGGGTAAAGGCATTTCAGTGAGTACGTTATACCAGTAGCTGCCAGCTGTGCATTAAGGTTGGCATCGAGGAATATCTACTATTGGGAATAAATCGTAGGCTGCAATCATGCTGCCAGATATTTAGGGGGGCAGGAAACAAAGAGCAATGACCAGGCTTGCTGTTTGCCAGAACAATATGCCCAGCAGAAATCCCTGAGAAGAGCATTTGTAGTGTCCCAAACTTCACGGGTTCTACAACAATAGTGCCCCTTCCAGAAACTGCTTTGGCCATCTCAAATGTGAACTCTTTCCTCATTTTCTCCCTTCCCCACATTTCACTTTGTGGAAAGACTAACCCAGTGTGAATAAGCCCACCACAGAGATACTTTTAACTTCAAACACATCCTGGTGTCCTATGAGAGAGAAGTGAAACTACCCAAGTTTCCTCAAATAGTCTGCCCCAGTATGTTATTATTATTACCATCATTATTATATTTTTTTTCTTTTAGTGGTTAATACACGTATTTTCTACTGTTTAACATACGCTCAGTCCAAATTCCTTGCTTTCTCATGCTCTGTAGGGGAATCTATTTTCAAATAATGTTTCTAGACATTGCTATATCCTATGCTACTACTTTAGGCATCATGAAATACCTGTTTCATACTGGTGTGACTGTCAACAAGTTCAGTCAGCTTTATGTAAATTGCTCGCAACACCCATGTTCGGCCTACTTTTTCCCAATTTCAAACTATAGGGATGCCTTCCAAAACCAGCAAAGCCAAACAAAGCCCTGCAAAGTCAACAAGCTTGTTTACATGTTAGCCCAAAAACTGACCCCACTGGTCAAGCCTGGGTCTTATTTACACCTGTACCACGTGTGGACCAGTCCTTCACAGTGTGAGCACTGTACCTCAGTGCTGAATCTCAAGAGTTTTGGGAGCAGATGCACTGCCAGTATGTGTTTGTCTAACTTCTGGCATGCAGTTTTGAAATAGCTGAGCCATGATCCTCTGAGGAGGTTTGAGTTAGTGTGATGGAGAAAAGAAACTGGAGAAGAAAGATTTATCCTGGGGGAAAATTAAAATATTCTCTGTAGAAATGCCTTTTTCAGAGCTTGAGGTATGATGGGTAAGTGTAAACACAGAATAAACTCTTCCTCTTTAAGCCCTCAGAGGGAGGCTGGGAGATACATGCAAATTGCTTCCAAGCTGCCTAGTCCCAGAGTAAACCAAATAGTTAAAAGTAACAATGAATTGATGATTGAAGCTTTTGGTAGTTGAAGGCAATTTCATTTTTATTAAACAAAAAAAAATAAAAAATTATTGTAGACTCAAATGTGTGAAATACTTTTCCTCTCTTCGAAGCAACTATTTACCTATCCATATGTAACAAATGGTATTCAGTAATAGAAATGTAAAGTGTTAGTCTTTTGTAACTTACTGCATTACACTGATCATGGCTCATTTCTACATGCCCACAGATTTCTCTTCTGAATAAGTTGTTTGATTTTGAAAGTAGCATGTCTACTTTGCATTATTTTTGTACATCATTTGGATGCTCAGTTACATCAACAAATGTGTATCTTCTGTGGTCACACAGTTATACCATGTAACATTAGCATTAAAATGGCTGGAATAGCATAACACAGCCAGCAGAAAGGACTGTGGCACTGTCTGCCCTTTTAGCTGAAAACATCTCAGGAGTGACTTGGTAAAGCAGGTAAGAGTTACACTGTTACAGACAAGCCTGAGAAGAGAGCTAGACTCAGTGTAAACACTAATGCTAAATACCTGTTTTGTAGGTGAAATAAGATGTCATTTTCCTTTCTTGTTCCATTCATTAGATCTAGTAAAGCAATGTGGAGGAAGTCCCAGTTTCTCATAGCTGTCTGTGTTGGTCATTGACCATCAGAAGGGATGGAAAAGAGTCCTCACAGCACACAGGTGCAACCATACAGGAAAACAGACAAACACAAACAAACAAAAGAGCAGGGATATATTCCAGTGAATTTTGTGCTTACTAGAAAAAAAGGCCCTATGAGTGAGGCTAGGAATCTGCAGGTACCTGAGCAGTGAGTCTCCCTGCTCAGCTGAGAAGGGATGGGTAGGCAGCACATGGGGGGCCCCCAGAGTGCTGCACCCCAAAATGCTCAGTTCCATTCATTCATTGTCTCTCCAACGGCCTTGGCAGCAAGGCAGTGAAGATGCCGGTTCCCTGTCCTACAAACAGCACACAAATGAAACACCTGGACCTTGCTCAGCCACCCCAGCTCCTCCAGCCTGCCTATGCCTGTTATGGAAGTGGCTACTTCAGGGACATCCTCCCCTGAAAGCGGTCCTATCAGGGCTCATTTTTTTGACACTAGTTTGTTGCATCTTTCCCTGAAATGCTTCTTTCAGAAGCAGCATTTAACTGAGTGAAGTCAGCAGTGTGTACATGGTGCTAACTACTCAAATAACCAAGAGCTCCATGAGTACTTTCAGATGTGGGATCTTCTGACTCCTCTGACTAATATTCCTATCATAGCTGACTAAGGAGGGCTTGTTAAAATGTCAAGAGATTTTTTTGGTTTGTTTCTGTTTGATTGTTGTTTTTGTTTGTTTGTTTGTTTGTTTGTTTTACTACATAGTTCACTCTCACTGTAGAGGATAATGAACTGACATACTGTTTATTCATCCTACTTATACAGTCCCATGGCAGGAGGAAAATAGTTGCTGCAGCCTAACAGATACTGCATAGTTCAGAAAGTCTTACAGGTGTATGAATAAGAGTGACTGCTCCTACCTGGAAGCACAGATTCAGCTCTGATATTGAAGAGTAGGTCCACATTGAAGATAATGCAGAATAACTATTGCCCAACAAGGAGAAGTCTGCTTCTGTACAGCAAAATTTCTGCTGGAGCTCCCCAGACTGTGGGACTAGATTTTTTCACTGTCATTGAAGGACACCAAGGAAAGGTCCATGACATCCTTGCTGCCCAGCTCAGGGCTATGCAAGGGGCAGGGAGCAATTTGTGCATGTCCCTGAGCACTGGCCTGGGGAAGCAAGAGCTGCAGCCTCTAGGTGGATGGGAGGGTAACACTAAGCAAGATGTCTCAGCCCCTTTCATGCACATCTGGAGCTACCTCTTACCCGTGAAACCTGTCCCTCTGCTGATGGCTTGGCTCCCAAGGACAGCTTCTGAGCCTGAATGGTCCTCTGGTAGCTCACTCAGCCATACACAGTTCCCATGCCAAACACTTATGAAATAGTAAAGGAATTTTGTTTGATGTTCATAAGGATGAGATATCACTAACAGAACTATCACACAATAGAGCATAATTCTATATATATATCTGAAGGCAGCATTAGCTTGAGAAAGAGCCTAGGGAAGAAATGCCTAAATTGAAGAGGATGTAAAGAAAATGCATGTATATATGCGTACAAAAAAAATAGGCAAGGTAAAGTTTGCCATCAGTATTTACACTACTGACCTACCCATCAGCTCTTTCTGGTCATTCATTAAATGCATGGAAATTTGTTTAGTGCATGGAAACTATTGATTTTGCCTAATTAAATTATTTCCTTGCATTTCACAGGGACAAACGCTAAACATGGACTGCGCTGTAAAGCTTGTAAGATGAGCATCCACCACAAGTGTGCAGACAGTATTGGACAACAGCGTTGCATGGGCAAGCTGGTAAGTGAGCAGCCCAGGGCAGCAAGTGTGTGTGGGGGACACCTTACTTTGTATGCCAGACCCCCAGGCTAGCATTTACTTGAAAATACAACTACATAATCCAAACCTAGCTACATATCAGAATTAATTCCTATGATTTAAACTGTACTTTCTGTAGTTGAAATTTCTACAGGAAAAACTACATATTAGTCAAATATTTTTACAGAGTTTAACAAAAGAAAAAGCCTTCAGTTATGTTTTATTGTTTTTTTCCACTGTTAGGGCTTGAAGAAAAATCATAATTCATCTTTAAAAAAAAAAAAAAAAAAAAAAAAAAACTGAAGGAGATTTCGCAGTACAGAGCTTGAAGCAATCTCTCAGTAGGAGAGGAGACCTGCCTCGTATGGACACAGCACCTTAGTGCCTTGGTCACCTTCTGAGCAGCAGGTTCTCATTACTGGCAAAGGCAGGATACTGTATTTGAGATTATTCTAACTTATCTTGGTGACTTTTTTATGGGAAAATGGTTCTTTTGGTTACTTCTGGGGAAAAAAAGAAAAAACACTTGGGAAAATGACTATTTGGAATACGGAGAATAGGTACAAATATTCCTGTTTCAGTTCTGTTGCAAACATGTGACAACTGAAGGCACTTACGACAAATCTAAGCTAAAAACAAAGAACCTTATATATTAAATGAGGAAAAACATTGCTTGATCCCAGCCTCAACTGTTGTGGTCACTAGTTTACAAAAACAGAAAACAAGAGGCAAAATTTATAGCAGAAGGAAGTCCAGCAAAGTCATAGGAGTTTTATGAGTTCATGTGGTGTCTGAATTTGGTTTGTTTGGGGCCAAACTGAGGCTGGGGAATTGGAATTTATTCTTACAAGAAACCATATATATCAGTCCCCTCATTCCTTCATAATCCATACTGCAGCTCATTAGTGAAAGAACTAGTTCTGGTTTTTGTTTGTTTGTTTGTTGTTGTTGTTTGTTTTGGTTTGTTTGTTTGTTTGTTTGTTTTTTAATATATATTGAATATAGGATACAGAAAATATGCATATCCTCAGGAGGCTTTTCCACTTCTCAGTGTGGCTAGAGGTTCTAAAGGCCTGCAAAGATCAGAGGTCTGAAAATCCGTTTGTGAATCTCTAGTGCCTTGAAAGGTATTTCCAAAGACTTAGGTGTTAGCACCTTCATTTTGGGTACTCAGCCTTTACTTGAGATATTTCCAACCTGAGATGGTAGGTGGAAAATTAACAGAAAATATTTAATCTTCTAAGAATGATCTTGAGAGTGATATAGGACAACCTCATTGACAATACTGTGGTATTCTTCAGTGGTGTAGCCTGAGTTGTTATAGTGCATTTCTCTACAAACAGACATTTAGGGGACATCTGGTATTGACTTGGGGAATTTTTTGACCTTGCTAGACAAAAAAAAAAAGCAGTGGAAGCTGTGGTCAGTCAGCAGCAAGCTTTAAAATTCTTGGGTTTCACAACTTTTTTACTTGAGAACATGGAAATTTGGAGACAGGGTGGGGAAGGATAGATGCTTGTTTAGCAAATGCAAATCAGTGCAAATTCACATAAGAAGAAAGGGAGAGGTGAACACAGAGCTTCCCAGAACATCTAATGATTCAGCACTTCTGCTGCAATTAATTAGTGCTGCTTATATGTAAGACAAAGGAAAAGAGGAGGCTGGAAATGAGCCCATCCTTCTTCCACATAAATACAGGAAATTATTCTTTTCCAGGAGAAAAAAAAAAAATCAAATAAATCCCTGATCTCTGCACCCTGCAGTGACTCAACAACAGGAGGCAAATTTCCATCCTTGCCACACTTCACAGAAGAAAAATCCTCTCTGTTATGCCACTAGACAAAGAGCTGAGTTTATTTCTATTATGTCAATCATGGTAGCAATTCACTTCATATGTTTTTGTTTTCTCTCCCTCCAGCCAAAGGGATTTCGACGGTACTACAGCTCACCACTACTCATTCATGAACAGTTTGGCTGCATCAAAGAAGTGATGCCTATTGGTAGGTTTTGATTGCTTTTCCATTCTGTCTCCCTTTGGCAGTGCTCTGCAACAGCAAGAGCAGACTTCCAGCACGGTATTTGCCCTCAGCAGCCTTCCAGCTCCTTTCAGTGACTGGATGTCCTTTTGCCATCTCAGGAAAGGACCACTTCAAAGATACAAAGCTGGAAGAGGAGAGGGTGTGTTTATTGCGCATTTCACTCAAAACCCCCTACACATAACCTCTTAGCAATAATCTTATTTATAATAATAGCCACCTGATCTCAAGGTAGAAACTTAGAAGAGAGGTGACAGTAGAATACTGAGGTGAAGGTCTGAGCTGGGAAGACCCAGGTGAGAGACAGACATCAAAACAGTGAGAGGCATTTGCATTACTGGTCTGGCTCTTGCTAGGTTCCTGTTCTTTCTCACCCACCTTTCTTACTTTATTTTTTTCCTTATTGAATGTTTCTACACTTTTCCCAAGTATTTAAAAGGCCATATTTTGCTCACTGTAATAATTGAAAGGGAAAATTTTGAAATGGAGAAGCTCAGTTGGTTCTGGATAATACTCCTTTCCACAAGTACTATGACCAAGCAAGCCTGGCAGTATAAAAAGATGAATGCCAAAAATAGGAGTTTATTAAAATGGCATTTTGGTTTTTTTCAATGATTAAAAAAAAAAAAAGTCAAATTAATTTCATTTAAGTTTCTCTTTCTAAAAAACATCTCTCATTTTTGTTAAAAATAGTTGAAACATTTTGAGAAAATGACTTTTTTGACTAAAAAATTAGGTGTGCTTTTTTCTCATCAAAAATCAAAATTCCATGTATTTTTTTCAGTACTTTGGCAAATTTTTCTTCCTTTTATACAGTAATGCTAAGGTACTGTATGCTAAGTGTTTACTGCCTTGTATAACAAAGGAGGCTGAGGTCTAATAATGCAGTAAATATAAAAGGGTTTCATCTGGATCCATTCATGCCAATTGAAGACACCCATTTCTCTGCCACAGGAGAGTATTTTAGCTTAGAGGAAGAATGGGAATGAGAAATGACCAGACACACCCGTGGGGGTAGTGGGCTTTCTGGCTACCCCTAGACTGTGCTGAGCAACCTGGAGCAAATTCCTAACTGTGAGTACTTTCTGATGACTGCCCCCAGGCCCCTGTTTGTCCCACACTGGGGAGATCAACATCTCTCCAGGAAGATCCAGGTCATCTTGCTTATCCATGTTATCGCAGTAGCAGTGCTATGAGGGTTAATGGCATAAAGGTGATGGCCCACGCACACCACCCAGATGCTCTCTCATGGTTTTCCCATGACAGGGATTCAGAGAATCTGTATGAGGGAAGGATGATCTTTATGTGAGCAGAAAGGCAGCAAAAAAATTGCTAGCAAAAGCCAGTTCCACTAAGTTATTCAAGCGCTTTTTATCTGGATAGTCTCTCAACTTGTATTTCTAAACATACATCCCAACATGTCGGTACAAGCAGATGTTTCTCCAAGTGGAGCAGGAACACAGCCAGAAATATGTTTCAGGGACTGATGCCTGTTTTGCTCCTTCTGTTGCAGCCTGTGGCAATAAAGTTGATCCTGTGTACGAAACTCTCCGCTTTGGGACTTCCTTGGCTCAGAAAACTAAGAAGGGCAGTTCTGGCAGTGGGTCTGACTCTCCCAACAGGAATTCTGTAAGTATCCCACACCTTTGTTCCATTTTCTCTTTAGAGGAGCAACACACATTGATTCACAGGAGCTGGTACTGGAGTTCACAAAACTTGCATTTCAAGCTGAAAAAATAAATAAATAAATAATAATAATAATAATAAATACATAAAAGCTCATTCCCAGCTCCTGAAATGAGACAAGAAAACACTTTATTTTTATAAACTCAGGTTTTAAGTATCTTTTTGATGACTCTTGAGAAAAAGAATAAAGTACAAATTAAGTGAATAATGTTCTCCTATCAGATTGGAAAAGGAAATTATATTTTTTATTTTTGCGTATCTGTGGAAAAGTGGAACAGGAATATTTAACTGTGATCCCAGAGTGAACACATCTTGCCTGTTGCTGATAGTGGACATTTACCCTTCACACAAATGACGGTGTTGGGTTTGAAGTCATCAGAGCCTAGATTTAGATGTACACCTTCTTCCTTCTCCATTGTATTCTCAAGGGGGGCATCACAGGGTTGGGCTCCTCTCTCCAAATCCCAAATGCTGACAGGTGTTCTCAGTTTGTTATATTCCAATAAAGAGACTTTCACATTAAAGCTAATCTTTGTCATTCATTCTCCCTTGTCATGAAAGTCACTTTCTTCAGGACTATGGCAAGAGGGTGGAAAAGGAGGACAAAGGAAAAGAGAGTTCCCTTTGTCCTGACTGTGCTAAATCCTTACCTAGTTCAGTAATACCACTTAAGCATTTGTGTAAGGTAATGTCTTGTAATGTCTTTCTTTTCCCAAGAGATTCTCCTCACCCCTCGAAAACCAATCACAACTGAATGCACTGCAGACTGAAGCTGATTGTCATGCCTAAAAATTAGACCCATGCCATCTGACAATCTTTCCTGCACTTACCTCAGAAAAAAAAAAAAAAAAAAAAAAAGATGGCATGCATGGAGGCACCATGAGAGTTGGTCTGCAGCCCTCAGAATGAATACTTAATGTTTAATTTAAACTTGTGCTTAATTCTATTTATGTTTGGTAAAATGTTTTCCTAGGACTTAAACATAAGCTCACTCACATGACTGAACTGTAATTTCAGATGGTATAGGTGACCTCTAAACAGACTTGGAATTGACTCAGATGGGAAAGAAAGCAGACAAATTTACACAAGAACCAAGTGTAATCTGCAAGGGGGTTATTGAAGGATATGTCCTTCATATACTCTCGTATGTGCCTTAAAAGGAACTTGGTAATTTTCATTCTTTTTTTTTTTTTTTTAAAAAAAAAAAAAAAGTGACTCTACCACCTGTCATATTGTGGTTACAGTTCTTACTTTCAATTATTTCATTTACTTTGAAACAGAAGTTCTACAAATGTAATTATTGCATTATAAATAAATAAAGCATTGAATTATGAATATAATATATGAATAATATATATATGATGTATATATGATATATATAATATATATTAATACTCATGCAAAGAAATCATGAATGCTGTGTCAGCTTTCCCTAGAGAGCTGACCTTAACTAGGTGGGGTGTGGGTGTAGAAGGAGGAACACAGGTTCATTGTGGGAATTTCTCCAGGGTATTGAGGCTGAAAGAGAATATAAAATGTGTCAGCATACAGAAAATAGAGAACACAGAGAACTGAATCAGCCTGGAGAAGAGAAGACTGAGAGGGGATCTCCTCGGTGTATATAAATATCTGAGGGGTGGAGGACAGAAGGATGTAGCCAACCTCTTCTCAGTGGTTTGTAGGGATAGGACAAAGGGCAATGGCTGCAAGATAGAGCACAGGAAGTTCCGCACTGACATGTGAAAGAACTTCTTCACGGTGAGGATGATGGAGCATTGGAACAGGCTGCCTAGGGAGGTTGTGGAGTCTCCTTCTCTGGAGATATTCAAGGCCTGTCTGGATGCCTACCTGGGCAGCCTGCTCCGAGGAACCTGTTTGGCAAGGGGGTTGGACACGATGATCTTTCGAAGTCCCTTCCAACCCCTACAGTTCTGTGATTCTGTGAATAAACAGACGTGAAACCATACATTCTGCCAGTGCAAGCCTGTGGACTAAGTCAAGGATAAAAACCAGGGGCAGACCCAATCCTATCCAAAACGATGGGGCCATAGAGCTTCACAGCCATTATGTGTCACCAAGGAGCAGGCACTGACCAGTATCCAGAGCAGAGAGTGACACAGAGCCCTTAGAACCCAGGTAAAAATGCACTGGAGTATGCATGCTAACTGTCTGTGCAGTTAACAACACATAGGGACTAAAATCCTTCCCCAGTACTTCCTCAACTCTGTGCTGCTCTACTCCTTGGAAAATAGAAGCAGCAATGCAGCGGTGAGGCTCACAGCATCACTGGGCCTTTGTGGCTCATCCATGCCCCAGTCCTGGGAGCTGGGGACTGCTTTGGGGTTCTGCTGTGGGACCAAACTATAGACATGAGGGATATGGTGACATCTGGGAACCTACTGCACCTTGCAGGTGTGTCCAAGCCAGCAAAGGGCTAGCTCATGGTCAGAGCAGTATAGCTGCACCTGCCAAGGCTAGTTAAAAGGCCAGGAGCTGGGATTTGCCTCTACAGCTTCCAGGATTGCAGCTCATGCCTGTGCAGTGTAGAGATACTGTCTTGTTCTGAATTAGCCAAGGTATTTTTAACACAACTAAGCAGTGTGGATGCACCCACTATGATTTTCAGCCCAGATTCTGCACTTCCTGTAAAAGAAAGTAGCCATATGTTCCAGATTTAGTACTTACTGCTTCCTTCAAAATGTGTTTCTGCAACCCACATTTATAAAGTCACTTGGGGTGATGTAAATGTGATTCCAGTTCTTGTTAGTGTTTGGGGGATCAGCTCCTCTCAAAAGCAGCTTTGTACCTCTGTGATTTCTATTAGACCCTTTGTCATATAACTCTTAACTGAGTTAGTCCTTTGGCATGCCTGAGGTTTCAGATGATATATATGTTGAAAAGACAGTCACTGCACATCCCACATGCAGTAGTACCCAACAAAGTATGAAGCTAATTAAGAATTCTGATGCTAGTCTAAGAAGACTGAGGAACATGCCATAGCAATGAACTGAAAAGTACCCGTACTGTTTCAACAAAAACGGTCTTTCCCTTCCCCACACAGTGATTAGAAAATCCGTAGATATGTTCTACATTGACTCCTTGTTATCATTTCTATTGCAGTGCCTTCTTATCCAGGGGTGACCCATTTGTGCAAGGTGCAAGACAAGCATGGCCTGGTCCAAAAGGTTGAGTCTAAAAACAATGCTTAACAGAGCAGTAAAATATAAGGCTGTGAAAACAGCAAGGGAAACAAAATAATCACAGGATGCCTGTGGCATAAATCTACTCTTAACTCCTTCATTCATCAGTATACTTGGGTTGAGAAGTAGCTAGGAAAGTTATTGATACTTGAAATAAATTTACAGGAAATATACTAAATTGCTAAAGTACTTTCTAAAAAAAAATATTTGTTGTCAGCATTAATGAAAGGAAAACATAATATAAAAGGCTGCAAAGCAATTCTGATTTTTGCTCCCTGAACAAAGGCAATGAATGTTTGTCATTTGGCTTTTCTTCCTGAAATTCAGGCAAAGGTCTACAAATCACTGAATAGAGTTGTGTATACAGTGTAATTCTAGAGTGTCACAGAATAATTAAGACACGTGGAAGGATTTAACTTAAAATCCTTTTAACAAGAAATAAATAAAGCTTAAGAGCATATAAGGACTTGCAGTTTTTCATACTGGAAACATTGTCTCACTCTTCAGTGTAAAGTTTTGTTTGTTTGTTTTTTAGTATAGTTATAAAAGATGTTTTACCCAAAAGAAGTCATGGGGGTAGAGTTCAGAAACTGAAGCTCTGTAAGGTCAGATTCGGACAGAGTTGTTTGGAGTAGCTTGTGGTTCCTCTCAGGCTATACATGGAGAAACCAACGCTTGGGATTTTGTCATCCCATATTTCCCTATATCCTAGAACAATGGGTCCCTAATAGCAATTGACATTAATATTGTACACATCAGAAATCATAGTAATTCTAACAACAATATTTTTGTTTAATTTGTCTCTAACTATACCAATCAGATGAAAGAAAAAGGCAGATATTTCAAAACTGACTTCACCAACTCCATCACTCTCCAGCTCCTTCTTTCAAAACATGTTAACAGAATTAAAATCACACTTATGCTACAGTTATTTTACTGAAAAAAATATTTAAGGTTAATAATTTGATAGTCAATAGTTTCAATTAATGGCCAGTTTCTTCTGTAGACAGCTTTTTGGAAAACTTGCATCATCTACAAATTCCACAAAATCCCTTCTATTATATAAAGACAACTACATTTTTTAGCATACAGTCATTTTTTCCTTAACTTTCACTTCACTTTTCACTGAAAAAGTTTTTTACTCCAGGCTGGAAATCTGTTTTGGAGTTCTTTCTGGGCTTTTACTACTTCCTGTGGAGTAGGGTATTTGTTGTGTACCACCAGATAAAATGTTTTGTGCAAACCCATCAGGTTGTCTTGCTCTGCTCTGATAGCGCCCAAATGCTGAATTTCCCAAAGGCTCATGTGTGGTCCTAGTTCACCTTGACACTTGTTTTTTCTGGTTTTTCCCATCTCATTTCCTCTTTCTGTCCCTGCAGACAGCTGACCTGGCAGAAGTTCCTGAGGAAGCCGACAGCAGCCTTGACATAAGCAGGAAACGCAGCAACAGTGGTGAGTGCTCCCAGGCCAGGATCATAGAATCATAGAATATCCTGAGTTAGAAGGGGCCCATAACAATCATCAAGTCCAACTCCTGGACAGCATCTTCAGATGTATTAGCCTTATGCAGACATGTATGCAACCTATTTTGGATGTTTTTTTTTATAGAATATCTATGTTTCAGCACTATTCTGGTTTTAGAAGGGGGAAGTGGGTGGCACAAGTAGTTGGTGAAAGAATTTAAGGGATTTGTTTTGAATGTTAGATGAGATCCAAGCCACTGGTTTTCTTAATTTATTGTGTCCTGACATGAGACAAGGTTCAGGTCCATTCCCTGTCTCCTGTGCTTCATGAACATTGCTGTAATCACTTTAAAAGCTTCAGTTCCACATTGGTAAAGGGGAACAAAAATAAACCTTATTTTTTTCTTTTTCTATAAGTCTAACTTGTCTACATATCTCTATATAACATAAACTTATTGGGGTAGGAAATGAATCATATAATATCCATATGTCTATAAAATATCCATCACAATGAATCCTGATTATAATTGCAGCTTCTCAGTACAACGACAGTATGTGCCCCAGTAATATTAGTAGCCAATTCCTTTGTCTACTTTGCAGTGAGAGTAATGTTTTTACTGCAATGATGTGATGGGATTTTTAAGAGTTAGGGGTGAAATCTCAGACACTGCGGGGTAGTGTTCGTGACCCTCTTCTTGAATGGTAAGGTGCATGGTGAGGGAAGCAATAAGTACAAACAGGTTTGAAGCACTTCTATCGAATCTTTTCTAAGAGCACAAGGAGTCTACTTTGCTGAATCTCACATGAGATGTACGCTACAAAAATAAATCACGGTGAGCGTAGGTTTTTTCTGTTAGACCCCCATGATCCTTAAGTGCAGCTGGTAATATACGTAGGTGAAATGCCAGCTTTAGCTGTCTATTCCCCCTTTATGCTACCGCCTCCTCATTCTTTACTTTCCACATGGTGCCATCACTTCTCTTCACTGTGTTCAGTCATTTCCTCCCTTTCATTCTGTAAACATCCCATCCACATTATCTTTTCTCTTCTGACAATTTATTTAGCTTTTCCATCTCGCAAGTGTAAGTTTTTCTGACCTGGTTAAAGATAAAGAATTCATACTGCTTTACACTTTGTAATCCTGCCCACCTGAGATTAATTTGGCCCTGTCTGAGTTTACAGATAACTTTTTTTTTCATTGTTGAACAGGAGTTTCATTTCTGAAATCCAAAGATACTTTTTTCTGTGAGATCTGCCTTCACTTAATGCACTAAGAGGCATTCAAGGAACTTACTACAAGAGATTAGTTTAAAAACCAAGCATGTGTCAAACCTCCAAATAACTTCCGTGGCACATTAACAATTCCTTTGATCACTACTGGCTTTTTTACAGTCCATCCTTCAGAGGCTCAGGGTATAAATTATGCACAAGTCACTCCAAAAATTTCCCCTTGGTAGATTTTTAATAAACTGCCTGTACTATTTGCACAAACTATGGAAATGGTTGGTTGATTGGTTGGTTGGTTTTTTTTTTTGGTCTTCTGCTGCTAGGGCAAACAAATATGAAAATAGGTGGATTTCTGTTTTGTGGAGACATGAATTACATAGCTGTATGCCTTTCAGATTCAAGTGCCTCCTTCCAATATCCAGAGACCATGAGCTAAACAGACATTAAAAATGTAACAAAGTAAATTCAGAATATTGCTACAGGGTGATTCCCACTCCTTTTTCCTCAGTTGTCCACTGCCTCTTTAGCAGATGGTTCCACATTAATGCCTTGATGAATCAGGTCCATTCCACTTCTTTTCTTTCAAAAAAAAAAAAAAAAAAAAAAAAGCTGACTTCTGGAAATAAGATTTTAGGAATATGCACATTTGAGCCTCTTTGTTTAATGGGAACAATGAGAACAGTGAACAGCAAAAAGGACTCAGCACATGCATGGCAATGTAATCAATCCTGTAGACGTATGACAGTAACTTCAAGGGAAGATGGTGTCTTTCAGGCCCTGGCACACGAACTATACAGCAAAGCTATCTAGTTTACAACTGTAAGATGACATAATTTCCAGCCCTTCAGCCTCCTCTAAGCCAGTTACACTCCATCATTACTGTGAATTGCCATCTGTAACAGAAGTTCCACAGGCCAAAATGTACTTTAAATTGTGTGTATGAGCCTGTTATCAACAGGGATTTCAGGAAATGTGGGACTTCTTCCTGGCAAAGCCAGGTTTGGTGGGCACTTCTCTGTATACACAAGGATATGGTCCATGACCCCTCCCCACCACCTGGGTCAGCACCACGGCTCACAAAACATGTTAGTAACCAGGCTTTATTTTCTGTCACTGAGCAGAAATTACCCTGAACATGCTGCTGTGCTGTAGTACATCCACTTACCCTGATGAAAGAGTTTCTGCAAATCCAAAGTGCTCCTGGTTACTCAACTCATTTACCAGGACTTGTTCAATTTGCTTTCCTATCTCCTTTTCCTCTACCAAAAGAAAAATAACGATTTAAAAAAATTAAAAAGGCATAGAAATTTGAGTAGGATTTAAACACTGCCAGTGTGCACTTTATACCCCTTTATACACATGCCAGCTACCCGTATACTTCTCTGCTTTAAGATTTTGCAAAGTGTTTTTTTTGTTGGTGGTGGTGGGTTTTTTGTTTTTGTTTTTTGTTTGTTTGTTTGTTTTTGTTTGTTTGTTTGTTTGTTTTTTGGTTTGGTTTGGTTGTTTTTTTTTTTTTCTTCTTTTTTTCATAAGGTTCCCCCTTCTGGTGCTGGTGACAGTGTGCAGGGTCAGTGTCCTTCTGTGACAAGACCTGGTGAAGTGCACAGTGAGCCACTTATTTTCTGTGAACACATGAAGCAATATCACAGCAAAACAAAAAGAAAATAAACTCAAGCAATAAGCCTGGTCCTTATTACTGTTTCTGAGATTTGCAAAATGTTGTTAGAGACTACAAAATACAGCTTCTGCTTGAAACACCTGCAGGTGTAAATGGTGGGAGGAGAAGCTGATGGTACTAGCTACTGAAAGACTCCAGCTATTAAAATAATACTCAGACTTTATCCAGAAAACACCAAGTCATTTCTCAAATGTGAAGGGGGATTCAATGAATGTAATAAAGCCACTGTGGTGTTTCCAGGGACATAAGTGAAGACAGGCATCTGTCAGCTCACAAAGCAATTACGAATACTGCGTAACTGATTAGTATCAGGTACTGTTAGATGCTGCCTCCATAAGTTTCTGATTTAATAACTTAGAAGCAAATTTCCGAACATACAGGCCTGTATCTCATATAACCCATCTCGACTTAAAGACACATCAAGTACCCCTATGAAATCAGAGGGAGAGGCAGCGTATTTAGTGTCCCCAGGCAGGGTCTACTGGAGAGAGAGGGCAATGCCTCTCAAACATTCAGGGACAGAGGGTCCAGAAGCAGGGTTGGCTACAAACTTCCCTCAGTATCACTCATATATGGTCATCAGATTTTGCAGTTGCTTTTAAATGGAAATCCTGCTGGTCCTAAACATGAAAATACAGCATTGAGTGTGAAGAAAAGGCTGCAGGGCTTTAAGTAGCAATGCAATTGGGGGACTTAGGTTCTATGTTGTACCTATGCATATTCATCTGATAAAAATGGCTTATTTATTATGATTGTAAATTGTTCAGGAAAGAGATTGTTTTGAGCCATGAGCCAAGGTTAGTGGGATACCTGGTTTTGTTGGGGGTATAAAAAGGTTCAGAGGAGAGCACAGGGGATCAAAGAAAGTAAGGGGGGGGAAGGAAGAGTTTAACAAAACTAAGCTGGTTCTGATGAGGTGAAGAGCCTTAACCTATTCCTAAAATGTCATATGTTTGCTTTATTTCAGTGTTTACATATTCTGAAAATGGCACAGAACACTTTGGAGAAGAACCAAAAAATATACATTCCCCGGTATGGGCAAAATTTTTCTAAGAATGCAATGGGAATGGGAAGACATATATAAAGCTTATTTTTACAGACAGCTGTGAATTTACCTTAAACTGTGGAATTGTAGTACAACTGCTGGGGCACTATTATGGGGAAGCGTCAGTATCTGACTGTCACATAATTATAACATTTCTGGGCCACTGACCACAGTTGGAAGCAGTATACTAGATTGGATGCCTCTTTGGTTGACCCATTATGGAGCCTTTTGTGTTCTTTCTTCTGTTTATTACAAATTGACATTATGAACACAAAAAATCCACTGTGGAGGCCATGTCATAACAACGGAACTGCAGTAACATAAAAATCACAGGCCTGACACAATCTGAAAAATTACCCAGACTTTGTTTTAGGTGCTTTTTTTTTTTTTTTCCCTCCAGATTTCCAGTGGAGAAGAGGAGGTGTTTAAGAAAGTGATTTTCCCTCTCTGCTCATTGGAGCTATGCACTGTACAGCTCTAGCTCATCCATAATGAGGACTGTATAATAGACACATCATAAAAATGCCAGTAATATATTACTGGACTTGCAACATTCATACATTAACAGAGAGCAAAAGACAGACTTATTTTTAAGAGCTTGACCAAAAGACCAACTTGTTCAGATTTCTGCTTGTCTCCTCTGGAAGCCTGAAATTGGATTTTGGTGTTCAAAGAATCTTGTGTCATATACATGAAGACATTTATGGCCTTAGTGGCTAACGGTGTTTCTGGGTGACAGTCCTCCAAGATGTGAAAGCAATGAGATTCTGTCTCATCTCTTGGAAGACCAGGCTCTGGTTCCTCACTGTGACAAAGGCAACCAAATTCCTGAGTTTTCCTACACATCAATAAGCGCCAGATATCGGTACATATTGCACCTCATTTCTAACTCTGTAAAGGACAGATATTTACATTTTCTCTTTATCTTTTTTCTTAAAGGGACCATTTTATAAAAGCACGCTACAAATGAACACTTATGTTGCCTTGTACAAATTTGTACCACAAGAAAATGAAGACTTAGAGATGAGGTAAAGTCCCAAAATATTTATTAGTTGATTTGACCCAAGCAAACTGATACTTATATGGTTACATATGACTTAGGGAGGTGATAGGGGAAAAAGGGTGTTTGGAAGAAGGGAGAATTTATTCTGACATTTGTTCTAGACATTTTTTTAATATAGAAACTCATAGAAACCACTCACATTCTCATAGAAGCAAAGCTGGCGACCAATTTTTTGGCAAGGACACAACAGATAAAATGTTTCAAGGACACCTACATCACTTCAGGAGGAAGATGGCTTTCAGCTAGAAAACATTCAGTTTTCAGTTACCTTTTTTTTTTTTTTTCAAACAGAAGTTTTCAACTAGGAATTCCTCACCAGTTCTCATGCTAATGATGAACATTTTAATAGTCCTGTTTAATTTTCCCTCATATTCATATTATATCTGAGAAAAAAATAAATTTAAAAAAATGATGTCCAGCTGCTGGATGGCAATGTTTTCACCAGAAAGATGCATTCTAAGCTTTGCAAAATAACCTTGTTAATTATCATTTTTAACACTTCCTGCCTCAGTTCTGCACCAGTTGCTGCAAGGTGTAATCCAAACCTGCTGAAGTGCAAGGCCATCTTTCCTTTGGGTACAATTAGCTTGACTCATGCTCCTCACATTTTGCAGGACCTTGCTAGAGCTGTTGACTTTAAATGTGTCAACTCTCTTCAAGGCATCCCCTGCATAAAAATAAACATGCACATGCCACAGAATGTAGGAAGTTGCCAGAGAAATGTCCCTGTTGTCAGCACCTCCTTCACAGAAAGCCTTTTTGGTGTTCCCAGCTGCAGCTTCTCATTGCTCTGGAAAGAATGGGTGGGATGTAAGGCATAAATAACAAGTTTCCCTATCAGTCTGCTTTGTTAGCATTTCTTTAGACATGACAATTCTTCCACTGAGACACCAGTCTCAATTTGGACTTGTGTCATTTGGCTACACCAATGTTGTTTGTTCCATGGCCATAAATTAGTAATGGATGGATTAACACTATTACATACATGCTGCCAATAGCACCAAAATGCTGTTTGGTGACTGCAGAGCCAGGCAGGATTCAGGTTGTTTGAATGACTTTTTATTTAACATAGTTGAGTTAACCCACATGAGATGGGTTCAGCATAGCAGCACCGTTAAGACTGACGCGCCCTGTCCTGGGACCCCGAGTCAGGGACCAGTTGGACACTGATCCTGCCTAACAGAATGACAAGAATGAGCAGGGGAAGGAACTGAGCTGGGATGAAGAGTTAGGGGAGATTTCTGGAAGTCTGAGCTCATGTCAGAGGGGATGCAATGCGTGGCAGACTGCTGCAGCTGAGAGGCACCAGCCCTGGTGACATCAGTAATTAGTATTTGACACAGCTGTGATTTCTTTTTCAACAGCAGGAGCAGCCAGCATAGTTTTCCAAAACTGGCATAAGTAAAATGGGATATCCCAATAATAAGTTTATTCTAAGAGATAGCCTTATTTTACAATGCCTAGAGCAAGTCCTAGAGACATGCACCCCTGTGTTTCAGACTCTGAAGTGATGAACATCTACCTTGGCACCTACTGAAATCTAGAGCACTGATGTTGAGCAAACAACTTGTCCAGGGCTGTGAAGAAGGATAAGGCCAGAGAGACATTTCAACCAGCAGTAATCACCAAGGAGGTTACCTCTTTTCAGGCACTTAGCAGCCTAAGTCTAGGCAGTAAAAGTAATATAGATTCACCTGAGACTTCTATTTGTGAATCCTTCTGGGGAGATTAGATACATCTATGTTAGTCTTGTACTAAAATAATCAGAAAGTAAACTTTTCAGGTCCTGCATGTAAAATCTCAGTGCTCAGACCACTGACATGGAAAACTTTAGGTTTAGTTGCCCTCTGTCTCCGACAGCCTGAAATGTTTTTTTTATTTGTTTTTTTTTTTTTTTTTGGTTGTGTTGTGTTTTTGTTTGTTTGTTTGTTTTTCTTATTTTTTCTTGTAGCCACAAGGTTGGAAGGCTTTTGAAGGATGGAGTTCCCTAAATCCTTCTTTTTGAAAATGTTCCCCACTGCAGTGTAAGGGCACCAGTGACATTACAGCCTATTTGTTTTGAAGTGGGCTCATACAAAACCTAAGTATTTTATATTAAATGTTGACTGGAATAAAGGACTTGGATGTCCTTTACCATGGAAGAAGTCTTTTACCACAGGGGTACCAAGTCATGCTTTTTCTCTAGCTTCCTTTCTCACTGCAGTAAGATCTAATTATTCCAAACACAGTGGAACAGCTTCCTGAGGAAGGATTGAGGAAAATCCCACCCTCTTGCCCTATTGATTAACAACTTTCTTTGAAATCAGAACATTTTGGTTCAGATCCCAGTGTTAGAGGAAAGACTAAATGCCAGTTTCTCCATTCATAAGCAGCAGTGATAACTGTTGGGCAAGTAGACCAGAGGTCCACTGCTACTCCCACCTCCATCTGGAGAAGACTGTATCTTCTATGTGTACTCTGTGAGAGCCCACTAAACTGGACCCTCTGTTCATCACTTACTTCAGATGTGATGCAAGCTCTTTTGCTGATACCTCAGAGACACAATAATCCTAACACGGTGTGCAAGGAAAGCTGAATAATTAGGGGTCAACCATTAACTTTTTTTTAAGATCAAAGAGATACCTCTTATCAAGCAGACAGATTTCTGAGGTTAATCCATTTGCAAATGGGCTTCCACTTATTTTCTACAACACAGCACTATTATAATTACATAATAACGTTGATGAAGTGCTACCAGTGAGGGGAAGGAGGTCAAATAATTGTTCAACTACCTGTAAAAAATCAGCTTGGCACATTTCACTATCAGCATTTCCAGCCAAATTATTCTCCTAGCTCTGCTTTGGAACTAGTCAGCTGGATGTTGATACTTAGCAATTACAACCCTGCACCGTGCATTATAAAGGTAAATATGTCCCATTCAAATCAAAAAGACATTCCTGAGCAGAATTATATTTCCTGCTGACTAATTGCCTTTGTCAGTTAAATAGAAATATTTACCTGCTGCCTTTCTTCTGCAATCACAGCTTGAAAACACAGATGATAAAGTAGTGTGTCCCAACAATGGGAAATGTCTTGAAATAACAATACAATGCCTGTAACAAATAGAGACTGTATTTTAAACAGTTTCTTATTAAACAGGAAATAAAAATTCTAGTTCATAGAAGATGTCATCTCCCAATAAAGATCTAGCCTCATTATACAGACTCTTTTCCTACATTATGAATATGATTTAATAAAACCTTGCTGCCTCGTTGAGTCTACCTGCAGTAAATGCTCAGATAAAATGACCAAGGAAGGACCGCCTCCCTATTAGAAGCTAATTGTGGGAGCTGATGCAGCATAGCTATTGAGTCATCTTAATCCACTTTCCCTCTTCTAATTACAGGCCAGGGGATATGATCACTCTTCTGGAAGACTCCAATGAAGACTGGTGGAAGGTATGTGCTAATTATTTTGTATCTATGTATCTTGTTTCCAGAGGGATATATATATATAAAAAAATATATCAAATATATATATATATATATATATATATATATATATATATAAAATAAATTATATATAAATATATATATATTATATTTTTATAATATATTTTCAATGTTGAACTTGTATTAAAACTCCAGGTGTTAATAAACTTCTTCTGTCAATATGTTTTCTCCACAGGGAAAAATTGATGACAGAACTGGATTTTTTCCTGCTAACTTTGTTCAGAGAGTGCAACATGATGAGAAGATTTACAGGTGTATCAGGACATTCATTGGCTGCAAGGAGCAGGGACAGATAACTCTGAAAGAGAACCAGGTAACTGCATGGGGATCCCCTGGGCTGGATCCCCATGAGGCTTGAGCATCCAGCAGTCTGATATGACTGGAGGGAAAGCTGTCTAAACTGAGCACAAGCAGATACTGTTCATTGCAATTTAACTACATATTCAAGATTTTTTATTGATGGGGTAATAGTCTAGCAACAAGCTAAGAGCAGCATTGGCCTTGTGTGAACACGTACTCCCTGCCTATTGTGGCCTAAATTTTCAGTCTCACAGCTGTTCATAAAGATGCTTTACATGTCACTCACCTGCTGACCTCAGAAGAACAGCTTGAAAACAGTCTTAGAAGTAGACCTTGACGGCCTGACAAATGGTCTGCTTTTCTCCATACCATTAGAGCTAATCTAATAAAATACATTAGCTCCCTCCCCAGACCTTACTTTACCTAAATATTTTGCACAGTGCATTGTTTCAGCTTCAGCAGGAGCAGAGTTAACACAGCACTGAACAAACTTCTGAATCTTAAATGTAACCCTTACTAACTGGTTACAAAATATCTCTAATCATTAATTACTTGTGATGCCACTTACACATCCTCTCTACAAGTCATAATTTATTCTAAACTACAAGTGCTGCTCTGAATTATAGTACACCACAGAGAAGATTTGCAGGGTCCATTCATCCTGCTGAATTCTCAGCAGCTTCTACTTTGTGCTATTTAGGTGGGCTCACAACATAAAAGCTACGGCCACCACTTTGTCGTGTGCCTTTGATCTGATTCTAAGTACATCTTTAAAGACAATTATTACTGGACTTTTAATACATTCAAGTGTCAAGACTAGTGATGCTGCAATAAATGCTTGCTGGGGTAAAGTGAGAGAAGAATATAGCTCAAAATATGTAGTAAGGGACAGTCAAGTTTGGGGCATAAGCTCATGTAAATAGGAGGACTGCTGACTAACAGCCATATACAGCCTAGGTTCTACAACACCTTGATGAAACAGGAAGCCAGCTTTTTCTCAGTTTCTTGTCAAGTCCAGCTTTCTTCCACTTCTTTAGGCATTTCCTTTCCTCAGGTGATTTATGTCACATTACCAGGAGGTGGTTGCCTTACAGTGCCTGGAAAGCCACTGATTTTAATATAAGTAGAGCAAAAACCAGAGTGGACTCCAGGACCATAATTTTATTCATGCAGAACCTCTGTAATGTGTCATTACAGGGGTAGATAAGGTTAACTTGTACTTTTGCAGCTGCCTTGTGGCATAGCAAAACGTACAAGTGCTAACAGTCCTTGGGTGTATGCAGCTTTTAAAGGAAGGCATAGCAATACAATAACCAGAATATATTTTAACTGCTCCTGTGCACTTATTACATTTGGCAGCCCTGAAGTTGCTAGAAAGAGATAAGGTGCCTAATTTTCTTTCTTTTTTTAACCCAGCTCTTCTTCTGATTGTTTATATATACACACACAGAGGGAAAATCAAAAAAAAAAGCAGAACTGTAGGTTTGGCACCCTTTGTACTCTAGTATAAACCAAGCACAAAGGCAAAGCTTGGGGAAATGAGTGTGGAAATTGGTGTGCCAGCATGAGGGAATGGTCACAGTCTGAGTCCTTCCTTGTCAGTGGACGTACCATATTCTCTCTGTCAGAGTGGCTGCTTCTGCAGACAGCAAGGGCACAGTTTCTTGCCTCATTTCTCAGAAGACCACAGTTTTTAAGTGGGAAGGTCTGGCAGCTGCATCTGAACACAAGGGCTTCAGATTGTCCCTAGTTCTTAATAGGTTTACAAAGGAGCAGGCAAAAAGGGGATGAATCCATCCTGTCTGTCTACTCCCTCCTTTTTTTAGCAAACTTATTTAACCCCATCTATCTCAAATCCATAAAAATGCTGAGGGTGAAAGCGAGTGCTAATATGTTCTTGCTCCACGGTGGGAGAGGCTTCAGAGAAAGAAAAGGAAATAGATGTTTGGTGTAAAACAGGGGACAAAGATCAGGCTGCACCAGCATTTGAGTGCAGAGCACTGAGACAAAAGGAGTGGAGCCAACAAAGCCTGCTCCACCCTCACACAAATTATGCAAAGAGGGGACACTGAAAGAGCTTCAAAGACGTTTTGAGTAATTTCTAAGTGGGTTGAGTTCCAGAAAGTCATTTGCCTCCCCCTGTAGCTCCATGAAGGGATTCGGCTCCCTAGTAGTCTCCAGTGGGAGCTGGCAGCCTACTCAGGACCAGTGTGCAGCAGCAGCATGGAGGCAGGAGCACAAGGATTCCATGACCCAGCCTGCAGGACATGTTCCTGCCTCAGAGATCATTTCCTGAATGGCACAATTTATTGTCTTTTTTTTTTTTTTTTAGCAGAACAACTTTTCTTTTGCTGTGGAAAAACAATTCTTGTGGGAAAAAAAAAAAAAAAAAAAAAAAAACAATTTTTACTGGGAATTTTGTACTTTAAAAATTTATGTTATATTTCCAAAGACAATTTTCCTTTCTTCTTTCTTCAGACACTTCTCTTATTTTCTGTCCTTTCTTTTCCCATCATTTATTTCTCCTGCTAGGAGAGGTGAACAGCATGGAATGCATAGAAAGTTTTAAAAAATCATCTGAATAGGACTTCTGGAAAAAAAATATGTATATATTCCATTTCTATTTGGGAAATATGTGTGGGATATAAGCAGGCTTTTTTGCTTTCTCTGGGCACAGTGTCCAGAGCCCCATGACCACAATATATGTACTATGTGCAAAGCACTGGCTTGTTTCAAATTAGCAAGAAGGAGAGATCATTCATTACTACCAATTCCTGTCAAGTCTCACTTTAGCTAGAAAAACTCATTAACTCATCTAATAAATTCCTGTATTCCTATTCTTATGGCAGATCACCTTCATTTTACTGTGTTAATTCACTGGAGAAAATTCTGCAGGGCTTTTAAAGGGGCCAGGGCCATACATACAATGAAGGCAGGGAAGATATACCAACAGGAAAAAACATTCAGTGACAGTAATATGAATTTTCAGTATATCGCTTGATAACATCCATAGTTTATACTGCAGTTCTCTATCTCCTCTGTACCTTACATGAATATTCTCAGATTGAGAGTCTATACTTATAAAGCATGATTCAAAAAATGATGGGTATTCTTTACACAAAGGAATATAAGCACATCAACAATACCTAAGAAAAGCCATTTCAGGCAAGCAGAGCCATTTTCAAAGTTTGAAACACAGTGGGTGAGGCTTCCTCTGGAATCATTTGGTATTTTCATGTCCTGTGAAGAACATGTTGGGTTTCGGCTTCATGTGGACCTTTCTGGCAAAGCCAATACTCAAGGAGAGCAGCACTCAGGGAAAAACAAAACAGCACATTTGCACATCTTGTGCAATATGCATGGTTTAGTCTTCACAAAGGATTCCTTGAAAGTTTCATTATGGAATATGGAACTTGGCCTGGGGAATAAGAAGTGTACTGCTTCAGAGACACCAGCATCTTGGAGTTTAGGGTTCAGTGGCAGACTTGTGGTTCCTGAAACCAATTCAGAAGGTGACTGGGCACCACTGGGCTCAATCACAAATCTTCAAGAGAGAGGCAGACTTAGCCCCTGATATCAATAAAGTAGGGTTCTTAACAGGGAAAAAAAAAACTGGCCATTTTATGTTTTTTGTTTGTTTGTTTTAATATTTTTAAGCTGTCCCACACACAATACTGTCTACATAGTTTCCAGCTGTGATTGCAACTTCACTTGGATATATAAAATTTTCTCCAGCCTGTAACTTTTGCTCTAGTCTACCTGAATCCTCATATTATACAAATGTGTCTTTGATTACCTACAGGCTCTGTTTTCACCTCTTTTCACCAAAAAAAAAAAAAAAAGTCACCATTTTGAAAAGTTGTATCTAATGTATCATCAGGTTTTGGAAGAGCATCTCTTTTAAAATGCCTCTAAGATTTTTGATCATCCTTATTTTTAAAGAAGTCATAATAGTCTATTGTCTAAATGTCTGTTTTCACTCCTCTTCTAACTTCCTATTTAAATAAAGGAAATAAACTCTTTAAAACAAAAACAAAACAAACAAAAACTACTCACACCCTTCATTGGCATCTCTTCTGATGTTTACAGGCTCACAAATATAAACCACTTTAGGGATTAGATCTTTGTGATTAAATAACTCTATTGATCTTACATTGCACAAGTGCTCTTGTGCAACAAAAATAACCCCAAACCACATTTGTAACAAGATTGCCAGTCAGAAACTGCCTTCGCCAAATGTGGACTGTGAGTTTATGTAAAGGTCAGTGCAACTTTTTGCAATTAATGTGGTTTTTAAATATTACTGAGGTAAACTAGCCCCACTGCAGAAAGCATCTCCCATCCAGGTTCTGCAGTGACTGCAAACAGTCCTCTGCTGCTGTGATGGCCATAGCCTCTAAACCAGAGCTGTCAGCCTTGCTGTCCCTGAGGCATCCCCCAACTCCTGGTCACCCATATTTCAAAAAACGTAACTTTTAGGTACATGTATATAAGCAGCTATGTGTACGCCTAATCCAGCCACCTGAGGAGAGCCTGGGAATGGACACATTCAGGCACAGGCTCCCAACCTTGAGGCTGGGCTCAACAGGGCAGGATTGCAGCTTAGGGGGATCCAACAGGCTCAGGTCTTCTGATTAGTCAGGGTGCTTTGTTGGTATCTGGTTTTTCAGTGCCTGGGAATTATTTTAGGTACCCACACTGTACATCCTGAAGTACTTTAAAAGGAACTGAATTTCTAAAAGCATGATTCAGCTGCCTTTGAAAATCAGCTGCACTGCTGACACAAACCCAGCTCAGAAAGTGAAGTTGCAGTTATTCTTGTGCTCCCCTGCAATAGATGCTGCTCTTGAGAGCTAGGCTTGAAGGAAAAAGGGTCCTTTTTTCCACCTCTTTGATTTGCACTGATGCCAGTCTTTCTCAACAGGGACATTCGTTCAGAGACACTGAGTGGCACACAAATTCTGCAAGGACCTACAACCCAAGCACAGCCCATTATGCATCCACATCAACTTT